GCGTCGGGTGAGCTGCTGCGAGCTTACCGTACAGCGCAGTTCTCTAATTGCGATTGACCAGCAGTGGTCGCATGTTGACAATTACACGGTGACGTTTCTGTTGACGCGATGGCGATTATCATTAAATTTGGCGCGTTCTAATTGTGTATTTGTGTGTGTGTGTGTGTGTGTGTCCATGGTTGCAAATATCGAAAGAAAAAAATCGGATTTAAATGGGTCACGTGTCGTCAACCGATCGGCTGATGAATCTAAAGCGACGTTTGATATGCTTCCATTGAGGAGTATTTTTAATTGTTTTAACTATGCGATTGACTCGATCGACCTCGTCGCTTTTACTTGTTAAGCAACATCTTCGAAATGAGCAATCTGTACATTCGTCAACCGCAAGTTCTGATCGCTCTTTTGCTCGCTGTATTACGAACGGTCCGGGCAGACAATATTCGATTTAAACCGCAAGTTTTGCAAATGTACCGAACGGAATAATATGTCTTTTACGGACATTACATGCAACGACAATGCACGTGACGCTCCTCGATGTTATTTTCTCGATTTACTTGTTGATTACTCATCTTTCGCGAGAATTTCGAGAGAACCGATAATCAAAGACATTCCGAAATATTAGGTGTGTGAATTAATTCGGTCCATCTGGCGGTCAATTGCTGTACTATGTAATTTTCTAACCTCTAATGTCTGCAAAAGGCTTTATTTTTTAGTTTTGATATCTGGCAATAATATTCGGTTGATAAACGTTTGGGTTTGTAACAATAACATCGTGTTTATCTGATTCGAAAATGTCAAAATTCGAGCCAAAAAAGCATCATTTCCGGGAAGTTCTCATTTTCTGTTTTCATTTGAAGAAAACAGCCGCTGAAGCTCATCGAATGCTCGTAGAAGCTTATGGTGAAGTCCCACCGATAAATCATGCAGAGAATGGTTTCGACGTTTCAAAAGTGATGATTTCAGTGTCGATGACAAACCTCGTCCAGGTCAGCCGAAGAAGTTCGAGGACGAGGAATTGCAGGCGCTAATCGATGAAGATCCGTGTCAATCGCAACATGAGCTCGCACCATGTTGTAGAATGTTGATCGATCAACAATTTCTGTGCGTTTGGCAGCCATGGGAAAGATTTACAAAGAAGGAAGATGGGTGCAATATGAATTGAAAGAAAGAGACATTGAGAGGTGGAAAGCCATGTCTGAAATCTTGCTTGCCAGGCAAAAGAGAAAAGGTTTTTCGCATCGTATTATGATTGGAGATGAAAAGTAGATATATTTCGATAATCCCAAATAAAGGAAACCATTAGCGACCCAGGAAAACCATCCACATTGATTCTAAAGCGAAATATTCACGGCAAAAAAGTAATGCTCTGTATATGGTGGGATCAGAAGGGTATAGTGCATCATGAACTATTAAAACAGAACCAAACCATCACTGCCGAACTTTACCAACAACAATTGATCCGTTTAAACAACGCATTGAAGAATAAGCGGCCGGAATATGCAAAGAGACACGACAAAGTGATCTTCCAGCATGATAACGCTCGGCCACATGTTGGAAGGATTGTGAAGGCCACCTTGGAAGCACTTGGCTGGGACGTTTTACCTCATCCGCCGTATTCACCAGACATTGTTCCATCTGATTATCACTTGTTCAGATCGATGGCACACGGGCTTTCGGACCAGTACTTCAACAATTATGAAGAAAGAGAGAAATGGCTCAATGAATGAATCGCTTCGAAGGACGAGTCGTTTTCCCGTCACGGAATGCAACAACTGCCAGACAGATGGTAAAAAATAATAGCAAGCGACGGCAAATACTTTGATTAGTGTACTTTTTCATGTTTTTTCATACTAAAGTCTTTTTTTGGAAGAAAAAAATCGGACCGAATTAATTCACACATCTAATAAGATACAGTATCGGCCAAAAATATATCACCTTCAGGGTTTTTGACCATAACTTCTTTCACAGTAAAGAAAATAAATTCAAATTTTTACAGCAGATAGCTGGTATCATGTACACTGTGTGTGTAATGTATAAAAAAATTGGACATCATATACTATGATTTTCAAAGTTATTTATTGATCGTCCCAAAATCGTCCGTTGACAACCTTTGTGTACTCGTTATGTTTATGTATTCTGTCGCTACTTCTACACGGCTGTAAACATTAGTTTAGTATCTTAGAAGATGGCGAAGACTCGTGGTGTTCGAAATGTGGACGAACGACAACGGAAAGCTATCGTAGAGAGTCGCAAACAAGGACGGACGCATAAAGAACTCGCCCAGCAATTTGGCATTTCCAAATCAGCGGTGACCAAGTTGCTTAAGCGTTTAAAGGTTCAGGAAGGTTCTATTAATAAGAACGTGTGGCCGACCGCGTTGTACTACTTCTCTCGTCGATCGCAACATTTTGCGTACATCTCGTAGCAACCCACATCTCACGGCGCCGGACATTGCTAAAGAAATATTGACTCCAGGACAGTCTAATCCATCTGTACGTACCATACGCCGTCGCCTGCAAGACGCAGGACTACATGGTCGAAGACCTGTGAAGAAGCCATTCATTTCTGCGAAGAATCGGAAGGCGCGAGTAGAGTGGTCCAAAGCACACCTTAACTGGACATCACGGCAATGGTCTGACGTTCCCTGGAGCGACGAAAGTAAGTTTATGCTGTTCGGTAATGACGGAATAAAGTGGGTTCGTCGTCCTGAAGGCAAACGCTTTGACCCCAAATACCAACTTCCTACAATGAAGCATGGAGGCGGTTCGGTTATAGTGTGGGGTGCTTTTTCCGCAAAAGGAATGGGTCCCCTTCATAAAATCGACGGCATCATGGATCAAACAGTGTACATAAACATCCTCCAGAATGTAATGCTTTCATATGCAAAACGTTTCCTTGGTCGCGGTTTCATCTTCCAACAAGACAATGATCCGAAACATCGAGCAGTTAAAGTGCAGGAGTGGTTCCGACGCCATCGCGTAATTCTCATGGATTGGCCAAGTCAATCGCCCGATCTAAATATTATAGAATCGTTGTGGGAAGAGCTGGAGAGACGTTTGGCAGGAAAGCGAGCTACGAATGCGACCCAGAAATTCTCCCAACTTGAAGAAGAATGGAAAAAGATCCCTCAAGCTACAATCGACGCACTCATTGATTCCATGCCCAGACGTTGTCAAGCTGTAATCGATGCAAAAGGCTTTGCTACAAAATACTAGAGTTACTTAATTTAAATTATGAATCTGGTGTTCCTCTGTTGACATTGAACATAGTTATGGCTATTTAAAGTTTACTATTTATTTTCACGTACTTTGGACATTTGAAATAAAGTTATTTTTTTCACGAATTGTTTATATTATTTGATGAAAAGTACTTTGTTCGGTAAGCTACACCTGTTGTCAAAACATGTTATGACCTAATAGATATCCATACACTTTAAACCAAGTTATGCTAAAAATCTTAAAGGTGATAAATTTTTGGCCGGTACTGTATATATATATATATATATATATATATATATATACATATATCGGGTGATTAATATTTAAACATTAATTTAATATTTGTATTTAAATTCAATAATATTTAGGTGCCGATTTTCCGTACGCTCTTTTAATTCGTCCTCAGGATCACGTTACTGTTGCCGCGCTTGACCATTTGCAATCGGCCAATTCTCTCTTCGGGCTTTGAAGGCTGAACGAGACGTCAGGTGAAAAGGAAGGGAAATCGTCTCTCGTCGGGGCAGGATGCAATTTCATGGTATTAATATTGCAAAAGCGTCAACTACGGGCAACCGACGGTCTAAGGATTCTAGTTTTCCTTCTTGCAGATAACCTATCTTCCTTGTGCATTCGGGCCGTGTTGAGAAGAACGAAATTGCATGCGAAAATTTGTATTTCCCGCGGGATACAAAGCAAAAGTTCGTCTGGCGAACGATGTATCGCCGAAGAAGAAGCGTTGGGAACCACGAAAGATTATACAACCTCACGTTAATTTTCGCGTAATTACAACGATACTTCGCTTCAATGTGGAAATTACCGAATTATCTCCGCGTAGCGCGAAACGTTAGAAATTGCGAGTTACGTCTATACGAGATCTATAATTATATATTACGTAACATCTACCGGTGATACATTTGCCAATCATTACGACGCACATTTACATAAATGTACAATTAATTATATTATAATAAAAGTGATATGAATAAGCGTCGTTAGTGCCGTTATCATAATTGCCCTCCAAATTGAAATTGTCTCCAAGGATTAGATAATTGTCCAAGCCGCTTATGGTTTTACGTTTTGGCCGCGGGCGCACTAGTAACGACCGTATCTACTTACTCCGGCTCACGCTACATTTCACAAGGTACAACGCGGTCAGGCGTATTATGACAACGGTGCATGCGTAACGCATAGTTTTGTGTGCAAACGATACTGCGATACTGCGACGGTCCAAATTTCGTCCGTGTATATCGGTCGCGTATAATGCATGCGCACGTACCGCATCATATGGCTGTTACATACGCACGCTCTTCGACGACGCGTGTGTCTGTATTAAACGTACATATTTGCGCGTCAATGTATATGTGTACTTACTATTCCAGGCCCGTTGAATCGGCAGGGTAGCATCGCGGTGCCGCCAGTTTGCGCTAAAACATCCTTGACGGATTTAGGCCTGAAGTAAGGGCCGACGTCGCTCCGCTTGGTCGGTCCATTCCGATCGATCGCGCAGTCTGTGAAAATGTATTGATCAATAGAATTATTGACACGCATGTACCTTCCCCACAGAGCCATCTGTTTATTTCGCGGCTAGACTCTTCGGAGTCGCGATATGCGATATTTTCGAGATTTTGCAGATGATTGGAAACTTCACGTTAATATGTAGAGAGTAATTTCGCCCGAAATTGAGCTCGGGTTGAGTATCGCCGCTTCAATCTCTCATGATCGTTCTCTATTTTCTCTTGTACGATATTCGTTTATTTATTAGTAAATGCGAATGGTTGTGCTCAATCACATCTAATTTTAACGAACTAGTTCAAGATTGTCAGATGATCAATTAAGCATTAGTTACTCGAACAAGAAGTTGGTAGGAATTTGTGCGGAGCTTGCAGTTGGAGTTAAATTTTCACGTAGAGAAGAATATACGGTTCCGTATTTATTTTCAAAAATTCGTGGATAGTCAATTTCTTGGCAAAAAGCAGTATAAAATTAGCAGAGAATATTGAATTATAAACTGTGAACGTTTGGACGTTTTATAAAACGCCCAATGTATTCGGGCACATAGAAAATCGCCGTTTTCACATTACATTTGTTCTTGTGATTTAATCAACTGATTTAATCGATTAATTTTAGGTTTCAATGACACTTGCTTTAAACATATACGGCAAACATTTTTCCACGTCGAGAACGCTTACCTCGAATTTCATGTTTGCAAAATGGTTATTGCGTAAAAGGATTATTAATGGAATTATTGTATTTGGCAATATGTATAAATAATAATAGCCGACCTTCAAACACGACTGTAATATTCGACACTTCTCCGCGTTGTTTGTCATTCGCTGGAATATTATTCGATGTCAAATATAATCCGTGTGACCAGAGCGTGAATCCAAAATCCAATATTAACATATAAGAAATAAATACAATTTTCATTTCGCTCAAGCGTTATTGTTGATGACGCGAGAAAAATCATATCGCGCACTTCTTCTCAGCTGTGAAAAGTGTACGAAAATTTTTTTGTAATATGCTATTTATTTTTAACTTTATTTTTAACTTATTTCAAAGTTTTCCCAACATTTTTAACTACAGCCGCTCTGTATCACGTGGTCGTAAAATTTCAACGGATCGCGTTTCAAGATAACAAGGTTCTTCATTTTCAGTACCATGTTATTTCTCTTGTTTGTTTGCGACCGAGATATTTAACGTTAAAAGTTGGTCATGGTTAATCCCATACAGCACAGACAATTGCAGCAATATTGCTGCAATGTTGCAACATTGCACATTGCAGTGATATTGCAGAGATATTGCAAAAACAATATTTTGCATTATTATATCTGCAATGTTGTAGCAACATTTCAAATTGCGGTTATTATTAAAAAATTATACAAGATATCGCTAAATGGAAGAGCACTTTTTCATTCTTCTCGCTTAGCTCTACGCCCCTATGCAGTTGGTATATTGCAATTATGAGACGCTTTGTATATTGCTCTAATTCTCATCACCATCATCATCCATCACCATCACCATCACCATCACCATCATTTAATCACCAATTATATTTAATCACTTTTTGATTTTTGGTTTTACAATGATTTAGTTTTATATCCCAAACTTAGACGTCTTATTAATTCAAGAATAGTTACCACAAGTATTTAAGACCTGTATTATTTCAAATAGCAAGGTGGTATCTTATTGACGTTCTATTAAGTCAATAAAACGGCGTCTTTTTAAGATATCATTTTATTCTTTGAAATATTACAGATCTTGGGAACTTTCTGTGACTATTCTTGTTTGATGTCAGAAATGAAAACAATGGTATATTAATCTTTGTTTTTTCATGTACGTTAAAATAAGAGATTTCCATAAAACGACACTTATGATCGATTTTACAAATTTGTGAAGTGTTCTGAACACTTTTCTTTTGCTGTATGATAATCATTCACTGTAAATAATTAGTGAAATTTATATAAATGTTGAGTTGAACATATTATCTCTCATGATTATTGTTACAGAATTTTTATGGAAAATTATTGATTGTCACAATAAGAGGAAAGTGTGTCCAGAATATTTTATAAATTTTTAGATCGATCACAAATATCATCCTCTGGAATGTATCTATATAACAAAAACAATTTTTGGCATACGATTTTTCGCTTCTGCCGTCATTAAATAAAAACTTTCCAGGAGACTCTCAATATATACGGGGTGTCCCATTTTAAAGGACCTACTCAAATATCTCAAAAACATTGCGTTAAATCGAAAAATGTTTGAGACAAAAGTTGTTTGGCTTGAAGGGGGGCATAAGACAGCGACAACATTTTGTTTATAGATGGTGTCACTTTTGAGATATTCACTGATCATCAATTTTCTTAAATAGAAATCCCAATCTCTTATTATATCATCTTTTTCTACCAACTAATTTGAACAACTTTTATCTGAAACATTTTTTTATTTGTTTAATATTTTTTGAGATATTTAAGGAAAACTTCGTAACTTTTTCAACATTTAACTTACGATATCTCGCTAACTATTCGTCGAAAGAAAAAATAGTATTAGACTTTTTTGCTTTATTTACTATCAAGAATATATTACTATAATAGTACTCTAACTTAATTTAATAATTTTGAAATTTCCAAACGTCGATAAGTCGATTTCTTGGCAAAAAGCAATATAAAATTAGCAGAGAATATTTAATTATAAACTGTGAACGTTTGGCCGTTTTATAAAACGCCCAATTTATTCGGGCACATAGAAAATCGCCGTTTTCACATTACATTTGTTCTTGTGATTTAATTAACTGATTTAATCGATTAATTTTAGGTTTCAATGACACTTGTTTTAAACATATACGGCAAACATTTTTCCACGTCGAGAACGCTTACCTCGAATTTCATGTTTGCAAAATGGTTATTGCGTAAAAGGATTATTAATGGAATTATTGTATTTGGCAATATGTATAAATAATAATATTGTTATGTCTCCCTTCAAACCAAACAACTTTTGTCTGAAACATTTCTCGATTTAACGCAGTATTTTGAGATGTTTGAGTGGATCCTTTAAAATGGGACACCCTGTATATACATACATATATACATATATATATATATATAAAAAGCATTATTGCATACAAATTATATTACAAATGTTGCTGCAATGTTACACTGCAATGTTGCTGCAACGGTGCTGTGCTGTATGGGATGGATTAGCATCTTATCTGTGTCAAATGTGTAATCGTCTGATAAGACTTCGTCTTATCGGCGGCAAACGTTGTCGCAGGCATTATCACACGTGCGTTTACGTTGCATTGTTATTGCGAGAAGTCACCCTTATGCACGTGTTTGGACTAAAGCGCAGAGGTTCCGGCTTCCCTTCTGGCGTCCGCACTGTGTTCGATACAGACCGAGGATATTGGAGATTTGGTTATCGTGCGTGTACGAGGGCAGCGAGCGGCTAGAGGCGTCTGGAGGAAAGTTCTGCGACGGATCTTGGTAATATCAGATGGTCATTAGAAACTGTCGATAACGGCAGTCGGGCAAAGATCTGAATAAGTATCTCGACCTGACATATAGATGCATAGATGTCAATTACGGTAACTGGGCGGTCCGCCGCAACACTGAATACTACTAGTCACTAGACAAGAGAGTGACGGGATAGATGGCGTCAACTATAACGAGAAGAAAAGAGCTTCCGGTAAAGAAATAGAAGACGATCAACTAATTTCGAGCTCAACAACAAGAAGTACACTCTGTAACGGTGCAATACTGATGTTCGTATATATATAATAAAGTTTAGTTTATACTACGTGGCTGTGTATTCACAAGTTCCTAAGAGCACGCGACTAGCACAAGTGCTACAAAACTATAATTGTATTGGAAAGTGGCATCCCTGATATAAACCCATGTAAAATTTTATTTCGATCTGTCAAGTCATTCGAGTAGTAGCACCAGTTTGATATTGACGTGTCATTGTCTTTTTTAAAATGGAAAAAATTGAATATCGTGCAGTGATTAAATTCTTTGTTTTGGATGGTTTAACACCAACAGAAATTCATCCGAAATTGTTAAAAGTGTATAAGGATGCATCACCTTCACTTTCCACTGTGAAAAAATGGGCTGCTCTTTTTAAATCTGGTCGTACAAGCCTCGAAGATGATCCACGCGAAGGTTGTTCAAAAATTGCTACAACACCACAACACAAAACATTCAACAAGTCCATGATATGGTGTTAGATGATCGACGAGTGAAAATGCGTGAAATAGCTGAGGCCATAGGCATCTCAAAAGAACGAATTGGAAATATTTTGCATGAAGAATTACATATGAAAAAGCTTTGTGCAAGATGGATGCCGCATTTGCTAACAATTGACGAAAAACGCGAAATTCGAATGCGTATTTCTCAAGCGTGTTTGGATCGTTTAAAGCAAAATAAAATGGATTTCAAGCGTCGTTTCATAACTGTTGATGAAACTTGGATCCACCACTATACACCAGAGCGAAAAGAACAATCGAAACAATGGATTGAAGCCGGTGGACGTGCACCAAAGAAGGCAAAGACGGTTCCATCAGCAGGAAAGGTTATGGCAACAGTTTTTTGGGATTACAAAGGTGTTTTGTTGATCGATTATTTTCAGAAAGATAAAACGATTAACTCTGAATATTATTGTAACCTTTTGGATCTATTGGATGCAAAAAGACCTTCGTGAGGAAAGACCTGCTTTAAAGAAGAAAAGTATCGTTTTCCATCAAGACAATGCACGTGTTCACACAAGTGTTTTGACAATGGCAAAATTCAACGAATTAAAATACGAATTGCTTGAACATCCAGCGTATTCACCAGATTTGGCTCCCTCTGACTATTATCTGTTTCCAAACTTGAAAAAATTCCTGGCTGGAAAGCGTTTTACATCAAAAATGACGAAGCTATTGCAGCCGTGGATGGATATTTTGCAGACCTTCCGGAATCACATTTTAATAATGATATTGAATTATTGGAAAAACGTTGGAATAAATGTATTG